CTCTGGGGGGGCAGTTGGGCAGGTCATGACCTCTGGGGGGAACACTAAGGCAGGTCATGACCTCTGGGGGGAACACCAAGCCAGGTCATGACCTCTGGAGGTACAGTGGGGCAGGTCATGACATCTGGGGGTACAGTGGGGCAGGTCATGACCTCTGGGGGAACACTGAGGCAGGTCATGACCTCTAGGGGAACACCAAGCCAGGTCATGACCTCTGGAGAACACCAAGCCAGGTCACGACCTCTGGGGGAACACCAAGCTAAGGTCACGACCTCTGGGGGAACACCAAGCCAGGTCACGACCTCTGGGGGAACACCAAGCCAGGTCACGACCTCTGGGGAACACCAAGCTAAGGTTACGACCTCTGGGGGAACACCAAGCCAGGTCACGACCTCTGGGGGAACACCAAGCCAGGTCACGACCTCTGGGGGAACACCAAGCCAGGTCACGACCTCTAGGGGAACACCAAGCCAGGTCACGACCTCTGGGGGAACACCAAGCCAGGTCACGACCTCTACGGGAACACCAAGCCAGGTCACGACCTCTGGGAGGAAACAGTGAGCCAGGTGAACCACATCACGACCTCTCACCCACCTAAGAGATGGGTACCAAGGACACCTGCTGGTGGAAGACTCAGGATAAACAAGGCATCACATCCAAAATAACAATCTCAGTTGAGTAATTGGCTGCCTGAAGAAGGGTTACAACACTGTTTCCTGCGGCGTGCACATTCCAATGCTACAAGCGGGGGTGTTAACTAGAAACAAGTGCGGGGAGGCGCACCTGTGCTTACCTGTGGCCCTCAGGGCAGTCTCTGGGGCACTCCGGGCCCTCTTCACCTGTCACCCGTCACACATCTGCCCCTCACCTGAAATCAAGCAATATATGTTAGAACTCTTTTTCCTGAACTGAATTACGGGCTCACCATAGCCCGTGCTACATGGACACTTCGTTCTGAGTAGCTAAATCTGAAACAACAACAACAACATCTGAACTGAGACAGAGAGAGCCTCTCATACACAGCAACGCTCCTGTGCCAGGTAAGTTCACTACGGGCTCACCATAGCCCGTGCTACTTGCCTCGCTCCTGTGACAGGTAAGTTCACTACGGGCTCACCATAGCCCGTGCTTCTTGCTCCGCTCCTGTGACAGGTAAGTTCACTACGGGCTCACCATAGCCCGTGCTTCTTGCTCCGCTCCTGTGCCAGGTAAGTTACGGGCTCACTATAGCCCGTGCTACTTGCCCCGCTCCTGTGCCAAGTAAGTTACGGGCTCACCATAGCCCGTGCTACTTGGAACTTTTAGTTCCGAGTAGCTGAATCTATAACAACTACAACACCTGAACTGAGCACAAACTGTGTTGGCTATGGCTCGGCTTTGACTCTCAGAAACGATTAGCGAAATTTCCAATTTAGGGTTATAAATGGTTTCACACTGACGGAACAATTAGACGAGGAAAGAACTGTAACATTCTTTGTAATAGAAAATTTTAATCGTAGCGTTGATCAGGTTGTGAGAACACAAACAATAATTGTAATAGTGAAAGTATAACTGATAACAGTTATCCTGTGGTCAAGACACCAGGGGCCAGATTCACGATGGCCCTTACGCAAGCACTTACGAACGTGTACATCTTTCCTCAATCTTTGACGGCTTTGGTTACATTTATTAAACAGTTTACAAGCATGAAAACTTGCCATTCAACTGTTGTTATTGTTATAAACAGCCTCCTGGTGCTTCGGAGCTCATTAACTGTTTAATAATTGGAAACAGAGCCGCCAAAGATTGAGAAAAGATGTACAGGTTCGTAAGTGCTTGCATAAGTGCTTTCGTGAATCTGACCCCTGAAGTGTTGACCCACGGAGCACATCTAGACCGAGTGCCTAGAGTGTCTAAGCGTCATGTTTACACTCTAGGAGATATTGTTTACTCGAATGAATTCAAGGGGGGGGGAAGAGTGAAATATTGACACATAAGAATTTTAGAATTAATATTTTTGTCTCAAGTATCATAATTCAGAACCAACCATGGACAATATTGTACTTAATGATACCCGACAACTATCCTCTTATGTTAGAAATTAAATGCAAAGAGGAAGTTCGCCACGAAATGGAGAAATTTTTGTAATAAGAAAGACTTGTTAGGCTACAAGATAACCAGGCGGTGATTATGGATCACCACGACAGGGCCTCGTACCTGTACAAGGAACAAGACGGTGAACACAAGTACCAGGACAAGGAGAACAAACTTGACAAACAAGGACTCTAATAAACAGAGTCACATTCCTAATGGTTCTGTCAGATGTATCGAACCTGGGACAGAACCTCTGATATATAGAGTGAGGACTAAATGAGTGGGACCTCCAATAAAGACTAAAAACAGGTGGGACTCCCAGTAAAGACTAAACAGATGGGACTTCCACTAATGATGAGGTAAAACTCACCTAAAGAACCAGTTATCAATAGCAGTATCAGACCTAGATACAGATTACTCTAAATCTTACATATTCTAGCAAGTTAGTTTTTTTAACAAGAACCATTTAAAATAAACCAAATTAGTATTTTGTTATAATTATTGTTTTACCTTAATTGGTGTGAGTGTTTAGCAAGAAAATATTATGTAAAACTCATTTGTTTGGTCTCACTGTAAAGTGAATCGAGTTAATTACATTTTTCTTATTAATAAAAAAAATCATGGATATTGAGTTTTAATTTAGAGCTGGTGACATTTTCTCCAGGAAGGAATAAAGAAAGATTGGAGAGTAACCGCTCAAACCTGCAGCTTTGAGCTCCACAACTCTTCACAAACCTGCAGCTTTGAGCTCCACAACTCTTCACAAACCTGCAGCTTTGAGCTCCACAACTCTTCACAAACCTGCAGTTTTGAGCTCCACAACTCTTCAGAAACCTGCAGCTCTGAGCTCCACAACTCTTCACAAACCTGCAGCTTTGAGCTCCACACACCAGCAGCATTGAGCTCCACAAACCTACACAAACCTGCAGCTTCAGAAATCCTGAACACTGTCCCCTTAAATTACATTAGTTTCTCTACATACACTTTACATACCACCTTGTATGTACTCAATCCGATAATGTTTATGACTTTCAAAGTAAAATAAAACAAATGAACAAAAACAGTGATTGGCAACTCTCCCGATATGTGCTGGGCCGTCGACTTAACAATTAAAGAAAACATTGACTTGTTTGACTTCGAATCGATTCAACTTGAAATGTTGCTTAAGCAAGGGGATTGTTCACGGCCAAACACCGCCGCGGTCAAACACCACCACGGCCAAACACCGCCGCGGCCAAACACCGCCGCGGCCAAACACCGCCGCGGCCAAACATCGCCACAGAGCAGCGGTCAATGAACCACTTCAGCGGAGAGAGACAATGATGGCCGGCCTGGCAGGCGTTGAAAATATTCAAATGAGCAGCACTCTGCTGGTCCGGTTACTGGTCTGACCTGATTACTCTCACCCCCCCCCTCCTGGACCCCCACCCCCCCTCCTGGACCCCCACCCCCCCTCCTGGACCCCCACCCCACCCTCACCCCTCCTCCTGGACCCCCACCCCACCCTCAACCCTCCTCCTGGACCCCCACCCCTCCTCCTGGACCCCCACCCCGTCCTCCTGGCCCCCCACCCCACCCTCACCCCACATCCTGGACCCCCACACCCCTCCTCCTGGACCCCCACCCCGTCCTCCTGGCCCCCCACCCCACCCTCACCCCACATCCTGGACCCCTACAACCCCCCTCCTCCCACAACCTCCTGAACCACTATGAACTCTCACCCCCAGCCTAACAACCTCGTGGACGCCCAGAACCCATCTAACAACTGCCACAATCCCACCCCCCCCCTTTCCCTAAGCTCCCCCTCCAACACCTGTCACCTTCACGTATTTGGTCAGTTGTATATTCATGATGTTAGCCGGTGTTAACACGCCTCGAATCATCAACGTATGTGATGAGTCCCATATTCATCCTTGTAGCCGGTCGAGCCGGTCGACCGAGCGGACAGTACACTGGACTTGTGATCCTGTGGTCCCGGGTTCGATCCCGAGCGCCGGTGAGAAACAATGGGCAGATTTTCTTTCACCTTATGCCCCCTGTTACCTAGCAGTAAAATAGGTACCTGGGTGTTAGTCAGCTGTCACGGGCTGCTTCCTGGGGGTGGAGGCCTGGTCGAGGACCGGGCCGCGGGGACACTAAAGCCCCGAAATCATCTCAAGATAACCTCAAGATTGCATGGGACTCATCCTCACCCCACACCTAGCATGAAGGACTGTCAGGGAATGCCATATATGTATTTTTGAACATACAGATAAATACATATCAAAATACATATTAAGTCAAAGAAGATGGCACCAAGTGAGAGGTCTACGTCCGTTAATGGTGTTCTGCAGGTCACGTGATCTAGAGTAACCAATAGGCGACCTATAATGGAACACGAGACGGGTTTTGATTGGTCTACAGCACGTCAGTACGTCACGAGGTGGGGAGGGGTGCAGGGGGTCCCAGCAGCAACGACCCTGGGGTCATGGCAGCAACGACCCCGGGGTCATGGCAGCGACGACCCTGGGGTCATGGCAGCGATGACCCTGGGGTCATGGCAGCGACGACCCTGGGGTCATGGCAGCGACGACCCTAGGGTCATGGCAGCGACAACCCTGGGGTCATGGCAGCGACGACCCTGGGGTCATGGCAGCGACGACCCCGGGGTCATGGCAGCGATGACCCTGGGGTCCCAGCAGCAACGACCCTGGGGTCATGGCAGCGACGACCCTGGGGTCATGGCAGCGACGACCCTGGGGTCATGGCAGCGATGACCCTGGGGTCATGGCAGCGACGACCCTGGGGTCATGGCAGCGACGACCCTGGGGTCATGGCAGCAACAACCCTGGGGTCATGGCAGCGACGACCCCAGGGTCCCAGCAGCGACGACCCTGGGGTCCCACCAGTGACGACCCTGGGGTCCCAGCAGTGACGACCCTGGGGTCTCACCAGCGACGACCCCAGGGTCCCACCAGCGACGACCCCGGGGTCCCAGCAGCGACGACCTCGGAGTCCCAGCAGCGACGACCCTGGGGTCCCACCAGCGACGACCCTGGGGTCCCACCAGCGACGACCCCAGGGTCCCAGCAGCGACGACCCTGGGGTCCCATCAGCGACGACCCCAGGGTCCCAGCAGCGACGACCCTGGGGTCCCACCAGCGACGACCCCAGGGTCCCAGCAGCGACGACCCCATTGTCCCAGCAGCGACGACCCTGGGGTCCCACCAGCGACGACCCCAGGGTCCCAGCAGCGACGACCCTAGGGTCCCAGCAGCGACGACCCTGGGGTCCCACCAGCGACGACCCCAGGGTCCCAGCAGCGACGACCCTGGGGTCTCACCAGCGACGACCCCAGGGTCCCAGCAGCGACGACCCCAGGGTCCCAGCAGCGACGACCCTGGGGTCCCAGCAGTGACGACCCTGGGGTCCCAGCAGTGACGACCCTGGGGTCCCACCAGCGACGACCCCAGGGTCCCAGCAGCGACGACCCTGGGGTCCCAGCAGCGACGACCCCGGGGTCCCAGCAGCGACGACCCCAGGGTCCCAGCAGCGACGACCCCAGGGTCCCAGCAGCGACGACCCCGGTGTCCCACCAGCGACGACCCCAGGGTCCCAGCAGCGACGACCCCAGGGTCCCACCAGCGACGACCCCGGGGTCCCAGCAGCGACGACCCTGGGGTCCCACCAGCGACGACCCCAGGGTCCCAGCAGCGACGACCCTGGGGTCCCACCAGCGACGACCCCAGGGTCCCAGCAGCGACGACCCCAGGGTCCCACCAGCGACGACCCCGGGGTCCCAGCAGCGACGACCCCAGGGTCCCACCAGCGACGACCCCGGGGTCCCAGCAGCGACGACCCTGGGGTCCCACCAGCGACGACCCCAGGGTCCCAGCAGCGACGACCCCGGGGTCCCACCAGCGACGACCCTGGGGTCCCACCAGCGACGACCCCAGGGTCCCAGCAGCGACGACCCCGGGGTCCCACCAGCGACGACCCCGGGGTCCCACCAGCGACGACCCCTGGGTCCCAGCAGAAACGACCCCGGGGTCCCAGCAGAAACGACCCCGGGGTCCCAGCAGACCAGACCAGCGACGGTATAGGTAAGACACAGGACACATATAGGCTATAGCAGTCTATGTGTCCCATGTTCTGTAATATATCAAGATGGAGAGAGTGTTCGTACACACATTAATGCTCGGCTCAACATGCATGTTGTTCGGGCCGAGGTGACGTTGCCTCAGTCGCAACACGCTTGTATGAGAGCGCATTGTGACAACTCGAAGCACAATTGATTTATTGAAGGACAAAGTGAGATTAGAGATATTCGCCCGGGATAAATTATTAATTTATATCAGAAACATTTTGTGATATATATTTTTACTCGTGAATGGTGATAACTCTCCTCGGTTATCATTGTTTGTTATTGTGTTATCATTAATGTTCACAATAGTGTTTAATGATCAATATATGCTACTAATACATAAGTATATGTTTAATAATAAGAAATACAATTAATTTTCTCTGGGACAGGCAGCCAGCGTATACATACATGTTAGATGTATATTGAGGTCCCCCCTTAAGGTCGAACCCCTGACCCCCCCCCCCCAGGATAGAACCCCACAACAAGCTGATTAACTCCTGTGTACCTGTTTACAGCTAGGTGAACAGATGCATTAGGTGATAGGAATCTCTCCCGCCAGGGATTCCAACCTGGAATTGCATATTGCGAGTCGGTAACAAGCCCGACTGTACTACGGCGAGTACATTACTTAGGAATTACAGAGTAGCTACAGAACTACTTTCTAAATTAAACTAAGAGGCGCAAGGTATCCCATCCTTATATATTTATATCTAAATAAATAAAATGTCAATGTTCGTTTGTTCAAAATCTTTAAATTTCAGAAAGTTCTTCACCGATTGCTTTGAAATTTTGACACAATGTTTCGTTCGAATACGCCCGTGTTTTTATATACCTACTATATAGATGTCACACACCTGTGACAGGTAACAACTATACTTTTTTTTTGAAAAACTGTTTTTCATGTGAGGGAATGGTGGGGAGGATGAGGGGACGGGGGAGTGGGGGAGGACGAGAGGCTGGGGGAATGGGGAATGGTGGGGAGGACGAGGGGACCAGGGAGTAGGGGATGTTGGGGAGGACGAGGGGACGGAGGATAAGGGGACGGGGAAGGGGGGAGAGGATGAGGGGACGGGGGAGGAGGAAATGGTGGGGGGAGGACGATGGGATGGGGAGGGGGTATGGTCGAGGGGATGGGGGAGGGGGTAATGATGGGGAGGACTTGGGACGGGGTAGGGTCGGGAGTTGTAGAGTCAACAAACCAGACAATCTCTATACCTCCACAGACACTGGAACAACAATAAATATTCTATACCCACAACCATTGTGAAATTTAACATATTAGAAACGCGCGCTTTCTCTTTTCTTTCTTTTCCACTTAACCAAACTGAGCCACAGCAACGCGTGGCCGGGAACTCATTATTAATATTATTATACATATTCCACACGCGACCTCAAGAGAATATGTGGTATAATGGGATCAAACAGTCCAGGATTCCACGTACTTAGTATGTCCAACAACGAGAACACATCCTGGACACATTTTATGTTGGAAACTTGGATGCTTAGACCCCTTGAAGCTACCATTTCTTGGGTTATCTTGAGATGATTTCGGGGCTTTTTAGTGTCCCCCGCGGCCCGGTCCTCGACCAGACCTCTACCCCCCAGGAAGCAGCCCGTGACAGCTGACTAACACCCAGGTACCTATTTTACTGCTAGGTAACAGGGGACATAGGATGAAAGAAACTCTGCCCATTGTTTCTCGCCGGCGCCTGGGATCGAACCCGGGACCACAGGATCATAAGTCCAGCGTGCTGTCCGCTCGGCCGACCGGCTCCCTAAGTCGTCCTTGGAAGACTCTCAATCACAGATTTCCTTCACTAGCCAAAAATGGGCTGAAAATTAGACAGCAATCCACAAATCTGAAAATAACAGGATCTGAAGACGTTTCGGTCCGTCCTGATCCATTATCAAGTCCTGTAATGACGGACCGAAATGTCGTCAATTCATTCATTTTTAAATTTGTGGGTTGTTTAAACATCCATGTTTATAGCAACGCCTCAGTGGCTACCCGCCAAACACACACCGAAACTACGACGTTGGTACAACGTTCCAACAAGTTTTAACACCACCTAACCAGTTATAACAACCAATATAGCAAGTTGTAACAACGTTCTAATACGTCATAAACACGTTAAGCCAAGATGTAACAACTTTATTACAAGTTGTAACAAGCGAGACAGTTTCGGTTTGTGTTTCCAGGGTATTCTCCAGGTGGCGTCGGGGCGTCCTGATCTTGGGTGACGACGATGGACCAAACAAAACAGTTTATGGAGGGTTCCCCACTCTCACCATAGTGCTGTGGAGGGGGGTGGGGGAGCCTGTGGGAGAGGAGAGTGTAGCCGGCTGGTCGCGGCGGTAATCAGCATTTCTCACTCGCCTGAATTCTATTAAAAGTGTACATAAGCGGCCCCTGAATAACGAAGGGATTCTGTTACCGTCCGCGAAGAATCAAGCAAGCTCACGCGCACATTAAACAATTAAGACTTATGATGAGTCCCAGATTAAAAGTTTTATCTAAACGAGCTGCAAAGCAATCATGGCAATCGTTAAAAACATGCAATATTCCCCACTCCTAGGGGTTATGAGTAGCCCCCTAGTAGTGGGGAACTGCAGGCTATGAGCAGCCCCCTAGTAGTGGGGTACTGCAGGCTATGAGCAGCCCCCTAGTAGTGGGGAACTGCAGGTTATGAGCAGCCCCCTAGTAGTGGGGTACTGCAGGCTATGAGCAGCCCCCTAGTAGTGGGGTACTGCAGGCTATGAGCAGCCCCCTAGTAGTGGGGAACTGCAGGTTATGAGCAGCCCCCTAGTAGTGGGGTACTGCAGGTTATGAGCAGCCCCCTAGTAGTGGGGAACTGTAGGCTATGAGTAGCCCCCTAGTAGTGGGGTACTGCAGGCTATGAGCAGCCCCCTAGTAGTGGGGAACTGCAGGCTATGAGCAGCCCCCTAGTAGTGTGGAACTGCAGGTTATGAGCAGCCCCCTAGTAGTGTGGAACTGCAGGTTATGAGCAGCCCCCTAGTAGTGTGGAACTGCAGGCTATGAGTAGCCCCCTAGTAGTGTGGAACTGCAGACTATGGTAGCACTGGAAGTGGTAACTTGAGACTATCGTGGACGACACCTCACCACAGCTGTGGAACAAGGCACTTTCTTAACACCGCATCAAGACCACATTCATCATCATGGTTGAATGTAATGGGAAGAGAACTAATGAGGAACTATGAGGCAGTCTTAAGCCCCAATAACTCCTCGTTTAGCGCGACTCCCCACGACCACGGGCATCCAAGTCTCTCACTGCTTTACAAGGAAGCTCCTGAACAAGAGAATACGTGGGAGAAGCTGTTACCCATGCAGCAAGCCTGCCTTACTGCGTGGCTATATATTAAGCAGCCTGTGGCGTGTTATCCCCTGGGGGCTCACGAGCCTAGAACGAGGGCTCTCGTTACGCCAGCCACCATCTCCCTCCTCGGCCAGTTACCGAGCTCGTCCCATCTATCTCCCAATGCCAGTAATTATCCCGCTTATTACTGTACTTAAGCGCAATATTTTCACCGCTAATATTTATGTTAGGACTTTTGCGCCCGCGGTTCACAAAATGATTTTTTTTAAAAACCTTTAGATTACAGACTCCTCAAGGTGATCTTAGCTAAGATCAAGGTGATCTTAGCTAAGATCAAGGTGATCTTAGGCTTGGGTACAGCGGCCGGAGGGGCGTCGACTGTACCGGGTTCCAGGAAGCTGATGCGTGAAGCTGGCCTGGGAGCTGAGGCATGGAGCTGGCCTGGAAGCTGAGGCATGAAGCTGGCCTGGGAGCTGAGGCATGAAGCTGGCCTGGGAGCTGAGGCATGGAGCTGGCCTGGAAGCTGATGCGTGAAGCTGGCCTGGGAGCTGAGGCATGGAGCTGGCCTGGAAGCTGATGTATGAAGCTGGCCTGGAACCTGATGCATGAAGCTGGCCTGGAACCTGATGTATGAAGCTGGCCTGGGAGCTCATGGAACCTCTAGTGTATAACACCACACAATATATTACAAAACTAATATAACTACTATAATCCTTCTACTTCTATAATCCTACTATTACTCCTATAATCCAAAAATGTTATATTCCCTGACCATTCAACATATTAAATGGGCTTATAAGGAGGCTATTAATGGTTTATTAAGGTCACCAAAGTAACTGATTGACCCACTATCAAGTATACTTTAATCATAGATATGGACATTCGGCGCCGTGGAAAAGGGAAGGGGGGTGACCTGCTGCATGGGTAACAGCTTCTTCCCCGTTTCAACCTACCTTGGCTTTGCGAACTGGAGAGGACTCCAGTTCGTGACCCCACAAACAAGCGTGACCCCACAAACAAGCGTGACCCCACAAACAAGCGTGACCCCACAAACAAGCGTGACCCCACAAACAAGCGTGACCCCACAAACAAGCGTGACCCCACAAACAAGCGTGACCCCACAAACAAGCGTGACCCCACAAACAAGCGTGACCCCACAAACAAGCGTGACCCCACAAACAAGCGTGACCCCACAAACAAGCGTGACCCCACAAACAAGCGTGACCCCACAAACAAGCGTGACCCCACAAACAAGCGTGACCCCACAAACAAGCGTGACCCCACAAACAAGCGTGGCCCCACAAACAGTCCGGTTGAACAAATGGTATTTTTAACAAAGGCTCCCAAGTAAAGACCAACAAAATAACAGGGTTTAAACGTGGTAATGAACAGTGTTCTCTGACTCAGCTCACGCAAGTTGTGCTTAGTGGCCGTCCTCACGCTCACGCACGCACGCACAACCGCCCCTCTCCTCCCACTGGTGTTCAACACCCACACACACCTGCCACTGGTGTTCAACACCCACACACACCTCCCACTGGTGTTCAACACCCACACACACCTGCCACTGGTGTTCAACACCCACACACACCTGCCACTGGTGTTCAACACCCACACACACCTGCCACTGGTGTTCAACACC